ATTGAAGAGGAAATTGAATTCAACTGCTCCCTTCTGACCATTTCTAGCAGATCATACCTTTCCAGCCACCACCCTGCTCATGAAGTGCATCATCACAAATGAAGGATGAAAGTTATACAGGTAGGTGGAGCTACCAGCTCCCATTTCTGCCTTGGGGGATCTTCTATGGCAGTCTACTAAGACAAACTATCACTGCTTTGTCTTCCTCAACCCTGCCTTGTGTAGAGACAGAGAAAACGGGTGGGTGGGGAAAGCACCAAAAACTTCCTCAGTTATTCAGTTAGCCTCACTTAGGCCTCTAGTTTCCACAACTTTAAGTTTGAATTCAATTTCCATCAAAAATAAGTAACTCCAGTAGTTCAAATCAACCTAAATTAGTCTATGTATCCAACTCAAGCACACAAAACCAGATTGGGAAATAATTGCACAAACCCTTCTAGTGGCAAGCTGCTGTATCCGATTAGCACAGACCAAGGCCCAGCACCACCACCCTCCCCAACATCATCTCTGAGACTGTCTCCACAGCCTCTGGTACTGCACCCTAAGATAATGCAGCTGCCTCACAGTTCCTGACTTAGGTCAAGTGACCAGCCCCTGGAGCACAACTCCTTGGGGACAGCAGTGAGCCAGGAAGCCCCCGGCCTTCTGCTGCACAGGGTGGCTGCCAGAAAAGGCTTTGTTGAGGCACACCACAAGAGCAGGGCTGAGCAGGAGTCAAGGTAAGATTCAAAAATTAGTTCCTTTTCATTGACATGTCTTACAGAGTTTTTATTTTGCCCTGAAGTTGTTATGGTAGCATAGTGGGTTGACAGAAAAAAAAGTGAGTGACTATCAACAACAGTAACAAAGGCAAAAAAATAGATTTGAAAATGACAACACAACCTCTCCATAATTTTGGAGATGGTCTGCTTTGAACGACTACTATGTACACTGTTTTTAAATATGGGCCAAGCCTACAGAATAATCAGACACTATGTTTAGAAATACAGGCTGGAACTAGGTATGAGGTTACAGTGATGAAGCACATTTAGACTTTGCCCCATCTTTGCATGAGGTAGAGATAGACCAAATTACTCCATATATTACCAAAGATGCATTTAAGGCTCTGATGCTAACTAACAAGTACCTAACCTTTAAACAGAACAGCTTTGCAGAGGACCAAAAAGCACACGGGTCTGTAGGATAGCCATCTTCAGCACCATTGCCTACACACACAAAGGCTTTAGGCCACACTTTTATTCCTAGAAGACCTAAGCAGACTGATATTAAACCTCACACATGAGGTGCTTCAGAGTTGCAAGATCGAGGTACCTGTGATGTCTCAGGAAGCCCACTTTGGGGGCAGTTTTGAGCCCTGAATGAAAAGCAAAGGTAACCTTCACTGCTTTGAAGTCAGCTGCAGCACTGATGACAGGTTTCACAATGCAAAATGCTGTTGTCAAAACACAGCCTGAAGTAGCTCAGGGTTGAACAGTTCACCTGTATTACATGTGTGACCTCTTACCAGAGCTGTGATGCAGGGAGAATGGCCACCAACACATGCCAACACCACCTTTTGTATGCACTTCCATTTTGTGTCAGATTTGAAGATTTAGGTGCTATGCTTGAACTTTTCCAGAGCTGCAGAAACCACTTACTCAGCCGGGTCAGAAGGCAAAAGCCTGCCTGAAGCTTGCTCAGCCAGCCCAGAACCTTCTTGTTCCTAGAGCCTGAAAGCAGCGACGCTCCCGCATCGCTAGCAAGCCGAACGCATCCTTTGAGGAAATCAAGCACTCAATCCACAGGAGAATTTGGTACATGCAGTTCTTTCACAGACATGCCAGAAGGGGTGAAGAGATGGAGGCCTTATCTACCTCCCTCCCAGCTTAACCCCAGGTAACATCACTGTTACTGAAAAGAAACATCAGGTGTGATCCAGCAGGTACACTGGCAAGCCCCCTGCCTGGCCTTCAGCCCAGCTGCCTCCCGCCACAGCAAGCGTTTCCTACTTGCTTGATGGACACAATGGGCAAAGTTTTTGTCTGGTCATTCAAAAATACGAATATCAGAGGTCCTGCAGTTCCCTCCACTTTGAAGTGTCATACAAACTTCCATGTGAGGAACTGAAGTTATTGTTGAAAAGTCTCACCTCATTCCCATAGACGAAGATCTTGGCATTCAGTGCATTTAAAACAAGTGTTAACAAAAAGGACTTACCAGTGAGTCTCTGTCCCCTAAGCAAGATGGCCAGATACTCTCAATATACAGAAATGACATTCTGAAGCAACTATAAAGTTCTTCAGAATCTCTGTGATGTCATTCACAGCTTTTCTCTAAAAGCTGTTTATTAGGATAAAGCAAGAAATGTCATCTTTAGTTGGCTGCAACCCACCAAATGACTGCTCCTCTCTTGCTGGGGAGTTTAAGTTCAAGATCATCTGAATTTTGCGCAGCGCATTTTAGGAGATTAGAATTACCAGTGAATTTCTCCAACATGTAATAATCATCTTCTCATCAATGTGTATTTTTTAACTACCCAGTTATTGCCATATTTAGATTATTCCCTGGCTTGGGAGTTGGTATTTAACTATAATGTTTCACTAGTGCTTGTACATGCTTAAATCTGCACCACAGACATGCTACTTTTAACTATGCAGCAGCTCCAGTGTTAAAGACTCACCTCTCTCATTCAGCCTTCTCAGAGTTTTACAAGTCAAAAATTGTCTAATGCATGATAAATAATGCAGGCCCTGTTTATTCCACGCTGTGTGCAATTTGATATTGGAATTACAAGCTTCCTTGCCAAAAAACATCCTTGATTCTCAGGCTTTAAGAGAGTAATTGGTACCTCATATTCATCCCTTTTTTTGCACCAATTAAAACCTGCAGGTGCACTAATGTTGTCATCTGGAATCTTGCTGGTACATCAGAGGTTATTTTCACCAAATGTCTGCTATTAGTAAAATAGGCCCATCAAGGGAATTGTGAATGCTCTGTTTGTTGTTACAGTGCTCAAGGCCTTCCAAATATTTTACTAGTGAAAGACCAGACAATATATTTTTACCTCTGAAGTATAAACACAGGGTGTCATAAAAGCCAGGTTCAGTTGGCACTGTGACTTTCTCACTCAATGTATATTTGAAACAGGCAAATCATTTCCTCAGGACTGTCTCAGATTTAAAGGCCAGACGTGGCTGTTAAGGTCATCTAGAATGCCCCACTGAACACAGACCACAGATTTTTCTCTTTATTTCTCTTGAGATGCACTCTTGCTCAGAGGGAAGATGGGCTTAAAAACCAAAAAAAAAACAATTAATGACTCTCACCAATCTTGAGATAAGTAGCAGGAAGCAAGAGCCACTGATGTCAGTAGCAGAAATACTCTTTGATTTAAAGGGGTTGATGCTTCACTCCCAGTCCCAGTGAAGGAAAAACCCACCTCCATTTTAGATTTTTTTCCCAGTGACTTAACTACCCTCCCTACAAAAGGTCATCCTTCTACCAGGAGACAATGGCCAAAAAGTACTATAAGCACACTGGTCAAAAGTTCCCCAGGCTTCTTGTTATAATTTTTTTTTTTTCTTCCAGTCTATTAGATGATGGGACTACAGTAGGCATCGCGGCACTACAGGCAGGGCAATAGATCTACTTTTGTGAGGAACAATTCCACTTTAAGTGATGAACTCCCAACAACACTGGCTGAACTGGAATTTGGAAAAATGAGCTCTGTCATCACTCCTCAAGGAACTCCCCTCCCTAGCCTCTACAGAAAGCTGTCAAATATCTCCATTTCATTTAGCTTTAAAGGTCAGTCCTCATTTAAGACTCGACTGCAGTCACACTAAAACCTTGCTAGACTTTGGCTAATGAATTAGTCATTGACAGAACTATTCTTTTACAGCTTAAGAGACTTAACACTGAAACAGTAGGACATGCAATATTTAAGTGCAGAGAGGTTTCTGTTCAAAAGTCTATGGCACATAGCCCTGAAAAAGTTTACTTGGGTCCCAAGTCCATCACCTCTAACAAGATGTCTTGTCTACGTAAGATGCCTGAATAAATTAAGGGATTAGTGATACCTTCAGGGCACAACCATATTTTGCAAAAAGCAGCCAGGAGCTGTACGTTCTCAAACAAGTGGGACCCTAAGAGGACTTCTCTTTTTCCCAAATACGATGAAGATGATACTACCATCCAAACAGATTTGGGCAGGATGGTAGTGTCACAGGGCAGTCAAGGAACAAGGCCACGGCATCCTTTAACATGGCACGCACCTCCTACCATCTGTGGAGGGGCCACGTTTGTTCCAGAACATTGTTCTGAATATAGGAAAGGACGTTCCCTCCATGCTCCCAGCTGTTTCCAGGGCACCTGTAAAAATGCCTCTCTCCATCCAGCCCTCTACAGCCTTGCGAGTCAGTGTCTTGGGTGTCAGAAATAAATAACAAAAAAGATTTGAAAACGCCTTTAAATAGTTTTACATTTTAACAGCTGTGGAATTGAACAGAAAAAAAAGTTAAGAGATGACTGAATTCTTAGCAACTTTTTACAGCCAGTGAGGACTACAAATCATACAATGAACAAGTGTGCACATGGGAGGGAATTCTGTTTTCACATCATACAAAACTGATTTAAGTGGTAAGCACTTTTCCTGAACATGTTTGCACACCTCATAGGGAAACACATTGTCTAATACTCCCAAACACTTCTTATTTCACCATTAACCATTAAGTATATACAAAATTGAATAAGAAAAATAAAAACCAACCAAACAATATCTATAAACATAAGAGACTGTAAAACTCATATAGACAAATGCAGTACTAAGTTGACACTGACTTAATAAACTTGGCCTGAAAAGCAAAAGTCACAATTTGACTGAACTTCATCACCTTGAAGATTTTTTTTTTTTTTTTTTCTTTAAGGGGGTGTGAGGCAGGATTGCTATCAAAAACTTAAAAATAAACCCAAAATGCAGCCCATTATCAACTACTGTCTGGACCACTTACGAGAGTGTAGTTGGTCACTTTTCCTCATGAAGTAGAATTCTATAAATTTCACTTGGGACTACAGGAAGTTTCCTTAAAATTCCAGGTAACCCTTCTCATACTGCAACTGAAGAGAGGATCCAGTAAAGCCCCCAGGGCCTAAAGCAGGAAGGACAGACTTTAAAACATCCACAAAATGTTGTAATGTTTTGTGAAAAGAAAAGCTTTAGTGTTTACAGGCAAGAAAAGGTCTTCATTTTCTGCAGGATTCTACAGCTGCCAAGATGTCTTGCAAAATGCTGTTTCTGTTTTCCTTACTAACCTAGAGAAAGAGAAATTAAAAGTGATGTAATTTGACGAATAACTTCTGTATCAGCATTTACTTCAAAAAACAAACAAAGCAGAAATTCAAATGTATTTCTTGTCTCAGTGGAGGAATGCTGAGTGTCAAACACCTGCCTTCTTCTGCTACTGAGAACACAATAACCTAAACCCACAAACCTACATATGTAATTGAATATTCGGTGATCACTTTGATTTAATTACCTACGGTATTTTGCAGTATTATTCAGGGCTTGAATAACTAACAAGAATCACTTGAAGCACCAGTGTGTACTTTTCTCATTACTGTAAACCCTTTTCAATTACCAAATATAATTTTCCTATTATAAAGTGGCACCTTCAGTACTTGAAAGAGTTTTATTTATTAGGAAGCCAGACCCAGTCAGAAACATCTGCAATGAAAAAATTTAAAACCAGCGTAGCAGCACAACTCTGTGTTCTGAGAAATCCCAGATTACAGGGTAGAAACACCTTGATAAAGGATTAAGACTACTTGAGAAACCTGGGGGGCTTTTGTAGCCCAGTGACCCACAGTGCCATGCATTGCTAACTAAATGGCTGAGGTGGTGAAAGGGTTAACAAGCGACTGTGAAGTGTCAGCAAAAGCCTCATTTTAAAAAGCCTCAGAAATTTTCCCCACTGTTCAGATCCCTGCAGAGAGGGCAGGAAGAAATCTGACAAAGACAGATGAGCCAAAAAAAGAAAAAAAAGAAAAAAAAAAACAAACAAACAAACACCAAGCCATTTGTATTTTTAACAAAGTTTGAGAAATGCTGTTTGACAAGGAGAGACACCACACTATGCATGGCATAAAACTCTTTACCAGCAAGGTTTCACTGCCTCCCCTGTAGCTGCATTTAAGGTCTGAGCACAAGGGTTCCTACCCTTTCCAGTACTACAGCCAATACTGAACGGGAAAGTAGTTTTATTGCTGCTGTTATTGTTGTTATTTTTAAATAGGTGACAGTCCTACCTAAGGAATCTGGCCCTAGGAGCCTCCTGCTATTTTCAGTCACAGACATCCTATCCAAATGCTGAAAACCAAGACTATGAAACCTAGAGACTGTGGTCTCACCCATGCCTCTTGAATTCAAGAGAGCAGATCAACATGGGACTGATGAAAAAGTGACATTTAAAAAAATAAAGAAGCAAGGAATGAAAGCAAAGATCTGCCTGAAAATGTTGCTGGGTTTATTATCATTCCAAGCCTGTTATAAGATAAACAGAAAACCCCAGAACAACAAAGAGAGCAAGACAACAAAGAATGGAATTACTCTTCAGTAAGGCTGTTGAGAGACTCCAAGGTAAACAAGGCACAGAGCATAGACCAGGCAAACTCTAAATCTCACAGCAAGTGTCCTGATATCCTGACTTTCAAAGGACCTTCTGAAGATTTAATAGCTCTTCCCACTGTCTCGCAGCCAAAAACCCACAATACTACATTTTATCTATCCCTTTTCCATACCTATGTGCCAGAAGTCCAGTGAGAGCAGCAGGAAAGAAAGTGCCAAGAGCTGGGAAATTTTCAAGTTTTTTACATAGGCTGCTTAATAGATACATCTCCTCTTAAGATTTGGAGATTCTGTGCAGGCAGCTTTGCCAGAGAGAACAAATCCCCCAGTGTCTGCACTGAATGTACAAATAGACTGGTAGATTTTTTAGACAGGGAGTTGAAAATAACTGTAGATGCTTCTTATAATAAGCATTGAGGTAATTTGAGGGAAACTATCACCAAAACTCCAAGCAGGCAACAGTAGAAGACAAAAGCTTTCTTCCCCTGTTACAGTACTATTAAGGAAACCCCTCTTTAACAGCCTGTTAAAAACTGACCCTTTTCTCTTCTGATCCATTGAACTACTTATTTTCTTTTTTAAAAGACAGGTAACCAAACTTCACTAATAGGTTTCACAGAAGCAAAATTAATAGATAGGAAAACGGGAGAAAAATAATATCTGCCAGCTGCTAAGGATAATCTGATCCTATTTATGACATTGTGTCTGCAAAACTACACAGACCCGGGCAGTGCAAAAAGAGCCTCTGTAGTTTCACTGGCAAGTTTAGTTCTCAGTAAAACAGAACTGGGCAACACTGGCAAGAAGTGTGTTAAGTAACAGAGCCCAAATCATTAAGTGTTCTAAACGCAATAATAAATTAAACACCTGGGACCATGTCCTCAACTGCTTTTAAGGCATCTGGGCCCATTTACACCAACTGCATATGCTTTCAAGACAGAAGGGACTGTAAAACCCCAGACAGCTGCCTCTGTGCACTTAGCGTCAACATCAGAACTGTCCTTGTGACACTAAGAGAAGGATGAGAAAACTCTGCTTTGTCACAATATGGGGTTAAGCTGCATTCAAATGACAAAGCAGGCATAAACTCTTTGGAAGGTAGCCACCTACTTCTGCATGCTTCCAGGCACCACAGAAGTTAGTAAGAAATTACTGACCATGAGCTATTTGGGCACTCCAGGTTCTCCACATGCCATAGCCCTTGAAGAACACTGGTGATCCAGTATTTACTTCAGCCAGGAACACCTCTGGCTCCCCACGGCCAGGTCCTGTTCCTGCTCACACACACATTTTAAGTAGCTGGGAAAGGGCACGCAGTGTGTCACTGAAGCAAGCAAGGCAGATGCTCTCTGAAACAAGACTTCAGTATAGCTGGTCTCTGCCACCTGGGAGTTATCCCAGTCTGGCACACGTTTCACACCCATGCTTTTGGCTAACAGATTCACAAGAAAACTATTTAAACAAAGAAACCTGCACGTCCTCATCCCAGCAGCATAAACAGGATAGCTCACTTTTTTAGCCAGGGTTTCTTTTAGCTAGAGAAAAACACTCCTCTGTCAAAATTTACAGGGAGACTTCTCCTGGCTGTAGTCAGTAATTCAGAGGAAGATCTAGCAGCAGACTGATAGGGATACAGCTAACAAACCCTGGGCTGAGTGGCACATGGACTCGGAACATCACCTAAAAAAATGAGACAATGGAAAACCTCAAAAGCTTCCTTAAAAAGCCGAACGCTGTTTTCTAGTACTGTGTTTCCTCATCAGAGAGGGCCAAACACACACACTGCTGTGACTGCAGCCTAAGCACAGAATGACTGTTCCTTCCAGAAAGGCATTCTTCATTCCCTCTTCTGCCAGCCTACTGCTGTAAAGGAGGTCATAGAAACTCAACATTCATCTGCGTCCCTGTTCAGTAGTCTGACAACTTACACACATCAGCTTGTCAGTGGGAAACCTGGGGTTTTATCTCTGAAAGGAATGGTAGGAGCTGAATGTTTATGCAAGAAAAGGAATCTTTCTTCGTCTCTGCTCCTATGATTCCTTTATCACTTCATTGAACAGGCATTTAATCTAAAAGAAACAGAAATTGAAGATGATGGTGGGACCACCAACTAAAGGAAAGCTGAGGAGCTTTTCTGAATGCTGCAGTTTTATTAATCCCACTTTGAAGAGGAAAAAAGATGGAGGCTTTGCTTTCTTTGCAGTAATTAGGGTCATTCATCATGAAGTTGTTGAGATAGTGGTTTTTCCTTCCTCATTCACTTGGATGAAAACAGAGTAAGCATTCTCACTGTGACATGGATCTGATAAAGCATAAACTGCAACAGTGTTCTGCTCTACAGAGTATTACCCCTGTTAGTCAGCCAGGACGTGTAAGTCCCACTTACTGAATTTATAATGCACAGCTCAGTTTTGCATATGTAGCTTTATTCTCTACTACAAATAGTACACACCGAGCAGAAAAATAACTCAAGGGAGTAGGGGCTGCCTTTAGCTTGGTTTTGTGCAGCCTCCGGGACACCTGCAGATGTTAAGGACACCTCACACGTATCACTGTGAACAGGCTGTGTTCTGTTGTGGTAGGTTTTTTGAGAACCTCCCTGTAACTGATCAGAAATGCACTCTGAGGCCCTAATATTCTGAAATTTATGTCTGTAAAAATAACATAATGAATTCCAAAGTTGGTTCACTGACTCCAGAGAAAGTATGCTCCACTTACAAGTGTCTTTCTTCTATAAATCATTTCTGCAAATGGCCTTTTCTTTTTCTTGAATACGATTAGCACTAATATTTCTGCAAGCCAGACTGGGGAAAAAAAAATTAAAAATCTGACTGTACTTTAAAAGATTTAACTCTTAGGAATAATGAATACTTACACAGCAATAACACTACAACAAGAAAACCTTTTAAAACAAATATGTCATTACTTCTATAGCCTCTCACAAGCAAAGCCAGCTGTGTGAGACTGCTACAGTAAGTGCCAAATGTGATTTTTTTTTTATTATAAAGGTGAACACCTGCCTGTTAAGAATAAAATGGAAACTAAAAAAATTATTTCATATCTGCTACCCAGAGCTATCAATTGGTAGTAACATTTAAGTTTTTAAACTGAGCCAAACACAAACCAGCCACCTAGAACAGAAGTCTCTTTAAGGACATTAAATATTACTCACGTTGAACACTTTAACATCTTTCCTGCTTCTTATTTCTTCAACAAGATCCAGTGGCTTTCCCTTAGGTATGGGAATAGTTCCAAGCACCACGGTCCCTGAGCCAGTCAGCGTTTGACGAACAGCTTGTATAAAAGCCTGGCTGAAGAGCTCCATTTTACCAATCTCATCTATGACACAAATTTTCTTCTCTGCATCACTGCCATGGTTTACCTGTGGAAAAGTGCATCAGGAGACTGGAAACAACACAAAACTTAGAACAAGAAACAGAACTATTTTCTATGCTAATAAAAGAAATACTTCCACAAGAAATCAGTTCAATTGTAATACCGGGGAAAGGAGAAGAGTCAAAGCTGCTGCTGACAACCAACAGACTTAAAAATCTGCAATTTCTATTTCAGCACAGATTTTTGGAAAGATAAAAACATATGTACAGCATAAATGCCAACTACAATAGGAAATAGCCATAATATCAGTTTTCATTCAAAGCAAAATTCTCATAATGGTCCCACAAAAGCTATTAGACAATCGAAAACTGTACTTCACCTACTAGCCAAGCTACTCTCATAGCAGAAAGGTCATCTTCTATTTCTTTGTCCAGATACAGCTTACTCTATATTCCTAGCCAATCCCTCAGTAGTAGGGTAGGCAGCATACCAATGATCAACCACATGTGTGGTTTGTTTGCTTTTTTCATGAAATGAATACTGTGCCAAACAGTACTGTGCTGCAGGCTGGTGTGAGCAGCAGGGAAGTCTAGGAGAAAATGTGGGTGACTGCTACCAAGGGAAAGGCAACTCAGAAAGCTGAGGACTTTTCAACAGAAAAGGAAGTGCACTGCCTACCCTCTCTTGGTGAGATTAACTGAGAACTGTACTCCATTATCTATAAAGTGAGGAGGAAATCAACTCAAGTCAAAACATCACTGTAAATCCATGAATACACAGCAATACCAGCCATATTACACAAAGCCTAAAAAAAAAAAAAGGAAAAACTGAAAAGTTGAAATGTTTTCCCATGTGAAAGCACAGTATTTGCTTTTGGGAAAGTGGAAGAACTGTATAACATGCATCTTAAAATCTTTTCAAGCCAAGTCCCTGCTGAGTACCTGTTTTATCTAAAATCCTTTCACAGATCAGAGAGCTAAAAAGCCAATACTAGTCACTAGGTCACACATTGAGAAACAAGAGCATTCTTCTTTGAAAAAAAAACCTCAGTCCTGCCTGGTAAAGTTTCCAGAACCAGAGGGATCATCCATTGTAGAATCTACTCCTGTTCTCACTGGAGTGAATGAGATCCAAGTCTTAAGAGCTGAAGCCATCTTCAAGACTAAATGGGCACATGCCCACTCTGTGCTGCTCTCTGATCAAACCAGACCATACCTGTGATTCTCCAGCCCTCACTTTTCCATTTGTCTCTTCTTGTGTCAGTTCAGATGTTCCTCACTCTCCTCCTCTCCTGTTTTGTGCCACCTACGTGCATGACCACACTCCCCCCCAGCTGATTAACAGCACTTCCAATGAGAACAGTGTCATGCACTGTCCGACCCTCCTGGCCCCTTTCCTTCTTCTCTTCCCTCTCTTGTACTTGCAGAAAGCTAGGTAACAACCAGAAAAAAATCAGCACTGCTAACACTCTTCTAGCAAGATCTCTCCTGGACTTCACATTAATGCAGCAGTAAAAGGATTCTAAGCTAAGGGCTTAATGAAGTCTTCTATTAAACTATCCTTCCATTCACTAACATAGTAAATGAAGGTACAGCGAAATTAAACATACAAAAATTGTTCCATTTTATTAATATTGCCTTTCTTACTTGCCCATAATGTCTTTGCTTCCCTGTTCTCAGACTTTCACATTCCTTCACAAAACCAAGAATCAGATCCTCAGTCTCATATTTGCTCCTTGCACCTCTTTGGATTTTTGCTCTTTCAAAGTTCATTAAGAAGTCCCTTCTTCATTGGCCCCTTGAACTTTAGCAGTGTAGAAAAATCACAATAGGATTTTTTTAGTAGCACACCTCAGGAACTGCTGCACACTGTTTTTTATATGCTATTACCAAAATTAGAATTGTTCGTATTTAATTTTGGAGAGGGGAAAGGCTGGAGTAATAAAGAGGAAGGAGAAGGAAAAAGGCAATAACAATGTTAGGAGGATAGGAAAAAGACTGTGTGGAAAGTCTTTAGGCTGCTGCCCAAGAAATGCACAAGGAGCATTCCTTGTGCAGCAACCTGAAGACAAAACTATCAGGCTGCCACTATCAGTTAAAACCTACCACTCTGCAAATACTTACACAGTGGTAATTCAAAAAGAATCATTCAAGAAACAAATGTTTCTACTGGAATAAGATGGGAATCAGAGCAAGAGGGGGGAGAAAAGGCTGTGAGGAAGACAAGCAGCAGCAAAAGCCTTTTTCTTGGACCCACTGACTCCACCAGCTCTGTGTGGTAAGCCACTTGTACACGTGGTTTGCTCTGCAATATGCAAGGCAGCCTCAAAGGAAAGAGCTTCCTATCGGTGATCTCTCAGGGCAAGGAGGTCCCACTCACAGGACAATGTCAGATCAAGAACGAGAGGGGGTTGCGATGTCTCCAATGCCACAACACAGGAGAAGCAGCTAGATTTGCCCTTCCAGATGAAGTCAATAAGTATCAGCAATACCCAAGAAATAGGATATAAATATCAAACCCTAGTGCTCTACAAGGGCCTTCCAATAACACCAATTATCACAAAGCATCCATTCTTCAGCAGCTTCCATAGAATACTCACATTTCTCAGCATAGGTAGAACCAGCTGCTCAAATGAAACAATGTCTACAACGTACTGTCCCACCCGACATTCACGTCTTGAAGTAGAAGAATCAGAACTGAATTCAGAAAAAGAGACACACAATTTCGTCTAAGTAATAAGATTAGTGAGAATATATTGCAGTCATTTCAAGTGGATTTATGAAAATTTATCCTAATAAGTCAAATCCCCTTAATTCTTCTACAGAAAGAAACTCTGTAAATCATCCATGAAGTCATACTGCAGATAGTATACATTCAGATAATAAATATTCCATAAACTGCCTTCACAACTGTGTAAGCTCAAATTTGAACAGTGTAGAAAGGATGATGGGATCTAAAAGCCAGCAGGTATATTTACACTAAAATCAAACTACATGCCTGTAACACAGACAGCATCCCAGCAGTAGCCAAATCTCAGTACGGGCTGCAAAATTCTAAAACAATCTTGGAAAAATACTCCGTTTGCATATGCTGCAGGGCAGTAGGTGAGCCTCCTTTATTAGCAGCTGTATGCAAATTAGTCAGATCAACTACGTCTGAATGAGGTGCTAATGTCACACCTGGACTGAGACTTAAGTTTTGCACAACATGTGAAAAACTAAGTCTAGTGAATCAGAAGACACTGCAAGTCCCTCTGCACTTCAAAGGCTTCTCTCTTAGTGGGGCTCTGAAACTCTCCTTTTTCTTAAAATACACAAGTGGGTTTTGTGGGCCAGTCAGTGCTCTTTAAAACAGCATTACATGCAATTTCTCTTTTACTTTCCACTTCCAATTCCATAAATCAGCTGGTGGAACAACAAAAAAAAAAATCTTCCCTGCCTACAACAAGATACTTACTGTATCCCAAAGAGACCTGGCATCACAAGAAAAGGCTCAGCAGTTTTTCCTCTCTATCTGGTGAAGAGAGAACACCCTTCCCTAGCACATTTTCAATATTTCACTATGCAATAGAGACACTGTCTACCTACACAATAGAAGTATCAGCCAGGACATGAGAACTGAACAAAGAACCTGATCATAGAAGCTGGAAATCACCTTCTGGAGGAGCATTTAACATGCCAACAGACTAGAGCAGAAGCATAAAACAGTAAGCCACTTAGTTATTAAAACCTCAGTACCTCACTCTAGATAAAGGTCCTCGTTTTCCAGATAAAGTGACTACATCAAATCCTGTTCTCCTGCCACCTTCTCTAACTTCCTCTGTGTAAAATCCATCAATGGGAATGCCTGAGGATTTTAGAGCTTGAGTGACTTTCTGGATCAAAGTAGTCTTTCCAACTCCTAAAAACAGAGAAGAAACAAACAGCACACAAGATTAATTTTCTACACTAAAAGCCCATCTTTAACTACCACAGTAATTGCAGGAAGATTTAATTTTGCAAATTGTTTCTTTTTAAATGGTAGGAAGGAACAGAAGCACCTTTTAAAGTTCACCCTGTACTGATACTGTAACGTTTTATTAGCCTTTAGGAAGTGTGACTACAGTCACAACAGAATGGTACAAGTATGGCAGGCTATCACTGAGATTGTCAGCCCCCACAGTGTGTGGGCAGGCCACAAAGCCTGCCCCAACTCAAGGTAAATACCCACGAGCAGTACTGGCACACAGCTGAAAGCCAAGCTAGCTCAAAGACTGATAGATCAATCTCCCTTTCTACTACTGCTATTCAACTACTTTTTAAGAACAGAGCCGAGTTCATCCCCCTTTCAGACCGTAAGGCCAAAACTGATTGCCATTACCAGGAGCCTGACAGGCACAAAGTACACACTACTTCTAGTCATGTCCTAGGACTCGGAAGAACTCAGTGTCCCAAAGATACCAGGTCCTACACAGCAAGAAGGATTTCCAACAACAGAAACATGCTTCTTATGGTAACCAAAGCAAGAGAGTTTTAGACTAGATACAGGGGAAAAAACTTTTTAATCATGAGGACAATCAAGCCCTTTAACAGCTTGCCCAGAGCGGCTATGCAGTCTTCAAATCCTTTGAGGTTTTCAGGACCTGACTACATAAAGCCTTGAGCAACCTGGTCTGGCCTCATGGCTGACCCTTCTTTGCACCTCCTGAAGTTCCATCTCATATGAACTACAATCCTGTGGTCCTATAATCTATTTTCTTATCCTAAGAGAGACCCTTAAAACCCTCATCACCGGATGTCTCCTAGTACAGCTTGATGTACTCTCTATGATGTGAATATTGGCCACATTCCAGACATCCTCTCAGTTCCCAGAAAGGAACTCTTTCTTCTCCTTTGACATTGTACAAGTACATCCCTTGACAATCTCCTTTTAAACTCAACTTTATTGCCTCTCACAACATTTAGTGTTATCACTTCATTTTTAATCATTGCTGTAAAAAAGGAGAACGTAGAAAATATCCTGCAGAATATACCTTCAAATTCCTGGAGAGAAGGAACTTAGATCAAATGTTAGGTGCCTAAAGATGCCAACAGAAATCATTTCAACATGCACATACCAAATTCCTCCTTTTGATTTCAAGCAGATTAAGGAACGACTTTCTTAACAGTCAATATCAATGGCAAAATGTTCTGTGGCTTCAAGGGCACCTAGTCAAACTATTAAGTAAACTTTTCAAAACCAAAGCCAACGGTATTCCTGGCATTTGAACAACAATAAAATGACAAATGTGGCACCATCAGTATTTACCATCTTTCCGATGACTTGTCTCTATAAACAAATTTATATTAATTTGGCTAAGTAAATTTGTTATCTCTAATTTGGTTACCATCATTCAGTAAATTGCCAGGGAAAGGTTAAAACAATTCAAACTAAGTTTAAGAAACCTTAAAGTTGCACATGTCACTAATCAAAACAGTACATCCAATTTCACTCCAACAAAGAGAGGCAGGGCCTAAGCAGGCCTAACCTCCGTGTCTCCCGGCGGGCTGCCTGTATTTAAGCGGCTGGGAAGGCAGAGTGAGGTGGGTGGAATGTATTGCTGTCCTGGCTTAGCAGCAGCATCTTAAATTAATTCCAGACAACACAGGCGTCTACAAAAGGTTCACAAAAAGGAGCATCAGCCCCACTGCTTTACACCCAGACCACAAAAGAAAGTTTGGCAATCTGGTTTATTCCTTATCAACCTTATAATTCGACCCTCATACTATATCCCATTCCACCTCCACTAGGATCAGATTCCTCTACCATGGTAAACTGCTCCATCACTTCAATCCCAGCTGTCCCACCTGGGACACCAATTATTGCTTAACTGAGCATTACTTAAGTTGGAAGTCCTAAATCACTACAATTAAGTTACAGAAAACATTAATGCTAAGAAGTTATTAATGGCTGCAGGTGAACTGAAGGAGGATTATTTGACCACAGTTTTTTTCCCCGGTACTGAACTGCAGAGCAGGAGCCAGGGCCAAAACTGTCGCGTCTGGAAATGTCCGTGGCAGGGGACTGGATCGAGAGCTAAAAGGGACTTTCATTAACAACAAATTAACGAACACAGGAGCTCTGACCTCAACAGGGGCCGCCCGGGTAGGGGAACAGCTGCAGTCCTGCACGCCGACACCCGGGGCGACCCCGCAGGCAGCCGCCGGGCCCCGCTGCAGCA